GTCCATGGAACCTCCCGGCGTAATAGCTGGTGAAGGGGCCGGGTGAAATCAGCGCAGTTGGCAATAAACTCGCGGTAGAATCCCGCCATGCCAAGGTACCGTTGTAAACTTTTTTTTTGTCTCGTGGCTGGGGAAATTCTATAATTGCTCTGAGCTTCTCAGCTTGAGGCTGGAGTGATCCTTGGTCGACCACGGAGCCAAGGAGCTCCACTTTGGGTGATGCAAGTTGCACTTTTGACGAGTTAATTGTGAGACCAGCTTCACTCATGCCCTTCAGGACGACCTGCATATGGTGAAGGTGGTCCTCCATAGTATTAGAAAACACTACTACGTTGTCCATGTAGGCCATTGCATAGTTAAACTTTGAGTCACCCAAGACTGTATTCGTGAGCCTCTGGAAGCTCGCAGGGGAGTTAGATAGGCTGAAGGGGAGTCCGACAGATTCGAACAGATCCCTGGGGCAAACAAATGCTGCCTTAGGGACGTATCTCTTGCTACGCGAATTAGCGAAAATCCTCTACTACAGTCTAGGCTTGTGAATATCCGCGCAGACCCCAGTGCATATAAAACAGACGAGACTGATGGAAAGGGGTATGCATCTCGCTTCGTGACCGAATTTAGAGGACGGTAATCTACGCAGAGGCGTGCGGTGCCATCCTTCTTGGGTGCTAACACAACCGGAAAAGCCCATGGACTTCTCGACGGACGGACTGCTCCGGTCCGGACCATCTCATTCACTGCTCCATCCAGGAGTGTGCGTTTATGAACCCTAAGGGGCCGCGCGTTAAATCGGATAGGCGGAGTGTCTCCAGTATCAATTCGGTGTTCAAGGATGTTAGTCTTCCCAGGTGTTTCTGTAAACATATGTGAGAAATTCTCCAAAAGCTTCGCTGTACATGAACGGTCAGAGTAGGTGCCAGAAAATGACCTCATTGCCACGTGCAGATACCCGGACGAGGGGAATTTCTCACATATTGTACTCTCTAGAGGACGAGCTGCCGTAGGCATTGGTATGACAGCAAACTTGAAAGTAGCGGACTGCGAGCCATATCGCTATTCTTCTGCTACAAATCTAGGACTATCATTTCTCTGGAGATGAAATCTCGGCCGAGAAGAATGGGGCAGGCGAGACCCGGCAGATATGTGAATTGTTGTCGACATTGTCGTCCATCAAAGCTCAGCTTAAGTCGAGCTCCTTCAATGGCGGAGATAACTTGGTCAGATGCCGTCCGGAGCTCTCTCTGGGAACGCCGCATTGAGATGTTCCGATCTTTGGTGGCAGCGTCAGGATGCAGGCCCTTTACAAGCCACTTCTTTTCGCCACGCAGGTACTCATTGGGGGTGCCTGTTTTTTCGGACAAACGACTAGCCCGTCATCAGCTTCGCCCGGTTTTTAAGCGCATCAAGTACAAGTTCCACCCGCCATCGACGACAGCGCTTTTTGGCCTTGCTTCGGCGAAGTGACAGTTCCGGCGCCTATCTTCGCTGATTTGCTCCGCTCATCGACAGTGGCAGAACCACCATCGTCATCGAACGTTCCGCTAGCCTTAAAAGCGGGAGCATCTTCCGTCTCGCTCTGTGGGCTTGGTGGCAGCGTCAGGATGCAGGCCCTTTACAAGCCACTTCTTTTCGCCACGCAGGTACTCATTGGGGGTGCCTGTTTTTTCGGACAAACGACTAGCCCGTCATCAGCTTCGCCCGGTTTTCAAGCGCATCAAGTACAAGTTCCACCCGCCATCGACGACAGCGCTTTTTGGCCTTGCTTCGGCGAAGTGACAGTTCCGGCGCCTATCTTCGCTGATTTGCTCCGCTCATCGACAGTGGCAGAACCACCATCGTCATCGAACGTTCCGCTAGCCTTAAAAGCGGGAGCATCTTCCGTCTCGCTCTGTGGGCTTGGTGGCAGCGTCAGGATGCAGGCCCTTTACAAGCCACTTCTTTTCGCCACGCAGGTGCGTAACTCTTGCTGTCTTTTTTCGAAAAAAACAGGCAATGTTTGCCTGATGCAGCTACCGAGCCCACTATGCTGTTTGAACCTTTTTTGTGAGTGTATTGATGTGGTACGCTCTCTCCTGTTATTATCCGGCGATGTCGAGGTAAACCCCGGGCCCGGACCTTACCCTGATACCGCAACTACTCGCAGTAAACAGTCGAAACAGATGGCTCTCACTAGTACGCACTCACAGGCCTCACCGGACGTCATCGCACTTTTAACAAAACTAAGCGAAGGACAGGACTCACTTTTACGTGAAATGCAGGCGATAAAAAAGAAAGTATCGTCTACGGAGCAAACTCTTTCTAACCTTTCCGAACGAATAAGTGGTCTAGAAAAAATGTTCTTCCTTCTCCTCAATTTCAACTGAGGTCCAGACCATACAGTCTAACATGTCTTCAATGAATAACACAATTGCCTGCCTGGAAGCGCGTATTGACGACGCAGAAAACAGGTCTCGCCGTAATAATTTAATTTTTTACGGCTTGCGGGACGTCGCTGGTGAATCTTGGCAAGATTCTGAGAAGCTAATAATTGAAACATGTTCAACTCATCTTGCAATTAACCTGGAGCCACCGAGTATCGAGCGCGCCCACCGGATTGGCCGTTTTTCTCCCGGAAAAAACAGACCGATAATTATGAAGTTTGCATCAAGTAAATCCAAAGAATTGGTATTTTCTAAAGCGAGGCTTTTCAAGGGAACGCAGATAAGTGTAGGAGAGGATTTTTCGCCAGCCGTTCGCACAGCCCGTAATCACCTTCTTGCTTTTGCACGCTCAAAATCATGCTCGTTTAGTTTGCGTTTTAATAAACTTTTTATTCGAGATAAGCGGTATTTTTATCATAGTTCTGTTGCTGAGGTAAAAGAATGTTCCCCATAACTAGTCCCCCGACCACCCATTGACTTGATGGCCAAAAGTGTATTGCCAAAAAACGAGAAAACATCGTTTTTGTTCACTAATATTCGCAGTGTCATTCCGAAACGTGACGAGATTTCTGCACTCATATCCGCAACTAACTGCGACTTCGTCATCTTAACCGAGACATGGTTATCATCAGCTGTCGATGATAGCGAAGTATTTCCTTTTATGAATAACTTTACTTTATTTCGCGCCGACAGAAGTGATAGGCGAGGTGGCGGTGTCCTAATCGCCGCCAAAGATAATTTAAAATGTTCTCTGATTAACGTGGCCTCTTCGCTTGAAATGTTGTAGATTTGTTGCCGCGTTTTCTCGTCCCCTGTTTTGATCGGAGTATGTTATCGCCCACCGGGAAATGACCCGTCATTCGTACCCATCCTTAATGACCACATTGTTTTGTTGAAGCGTAAATATCGTAACGCCAAAATGTTCTTATTTGGCGATTTCAACTTTCCTGGTATTAATTGGTCTACTGGAATACACACTAATGCAGTCGAGCGTGATTTTTATGATATGTGTCTTAACTTAACCCTTTCTCAAGTAATAACAGATGCAACGCGTGTGTCCTCCCAATCATCCAATATACTAGACTTAATACTTACAACTGCTCCTGAAACGTTGGATAGTATATTCCACCTTCCCGGTATTAGCGATCATCAAGTAATACTGGCTAACATCAAGCTCTCATTTAAAAAAAGTCCTACTCAGCAAAAACTAATAACACTTTATGACAAGGGAAATTATGAAGCTATTAACGCTGAACTACAAAAGTTTTACGATGCCTACGAGGTCGGTTTTCCAACGCGGGATGTTAATGATAATTGGCTTTTATTTAAGGATACTATGCGGGATCTCATTAATATATATATATACCAACGCGTCTAATTAAGTCAAATCCGCAGGCACCATGGTTTAACTCGTCACTAAAGCGTCTTAATAATAAAAAGAAAAGGTTATTTAGGTTGGCAAGTAAATATAACACCCCCGCTGCATGGAATAAATACTACTCTGCCGATGAAGCATACAGGTCTGCTTTAGAATCCACCAAGCGATCATTTTATTACCAACGTCTGCCTAATATGCTAATAAACACCCCTAAACAGTTCTGGAAAGTTATTAATCCATCTCCAACAACATTAATTTCTTTAATTGATAAGGAGGGAATAAGCATCGACGTTGAAAATTGTGCTAATATTCTTAATGAAGTGTTCAATTCGGTTTTTACAAAAGAAATTGTTGGTAATCATCCTGTAACTTCTGCCTATAACTTTCCACGTCTGTCAGCCATCGAGTTCGATGAAGAAGGCATCTACCATATAATCAAGAATCTGAAATTATCATCTTCAGCTGGTGTCGATGAGCTTAATTCGAAAGTTCTTAAAAACACAAATACTCTTACTAGTAAAATATTAACCCTCATTTTCACCCAATCACTAACTACTGGCTGTATTCCTGACGATTGGAAAGTGGGGAAGATCGTTCCTATCTCAAAAAAAGGCAACAAGTTCTCTCCTTCGAATTATAGGCCCATCTCGTTAACATGCATATCCTGCAAAATCATGGAACATGTAATCTTCTCAAAACTAGTATCTTTTCTTGAAATGAATAAGTTCTTTTATCCTTATCAACATGGTTTTCGCAAAGGGTTTTCATGCGAGTCGCAACTTTCCGCTTTCATTCATAATCTACATTGTAATCTTGACAATAACATACAAACCGACGCAGTTTTTCTGGATTTTTCCAAGGCCTTCGATAGGGTTCCCCATAACCGACTGATGCTTAAAGTTTCCCAGCTTAACTTAGATGCTAACGTCATTTCTTGGATTAACTGTTTCCTTACCGGTAGAACCCAGTTTGTGCTCGCTAACAACCACTCTTCTTATCCTTCTCCCGTCACGTCTGGAGTACCTCAGGGGTCTGTTTTAGGTCCTCTTTTGTTTTTAATATATATTAATGACCTTCCAATATCAGTAGCTTCTAACATTCGTCTTTTTGCCGATGATTGCGTAATATATCGTAGCATTATTTCTCCCGCTGATAATATTATCTTGCAGAACGACCTAATAACCATCGAAAAGTGATGCACAGACTGGCAAATGTCACTCAACACTGATAAATGCATGCTCCTTTCCTTCCACCGCCGCACTAACCCAATGTCATTTGTGTATCGCTTAAATAGTTTCGCCCTAACATCCTGCACATCGTATAAGTACCTTGGTGTATATCTCACCCCAAACCTCTCGTGGGCAACTCACATTGAGCATCTAATTAAATCTACCAACCGCTCTTTAGGTTTCCTCAAGCGTAACTTAAAGTCAGCCCCACATCACCTCAAACTTCTCGCCTTTAAAACACTTGTTCGCCCTAAACTAGAATTTGCTTCATCTGTGTGGGACCCTCATCAGTCATATCTCTCTTCCGACATCGAGGCAATTCAAAATCGCGCAGTCAGGTTCATTCATTCAAATTATTCGTATAACACTAGTGTCACAGCGTTGAAGAAACAAGATAACTTACAAGATCTCAGCATACGCCGCAAAGTAACCCGTCTTCTGCTCTTTCATAAACTATTTAATGACGCTACTAAGTGTGAGTCATACATTCAAGTAGCTGCTGAACGCCATCTCCGCAATTACCATCCTCACCAAGTCATACCTGCAAACTGTAAAACAACTACCTTCATGAATTCATTTTTTGTCAAAACTTCTAATGACTGGAACGATCTTCCCCGTGAAATCACTTCACTTGCTGACCCATTGAAATTTAAAACAGCTCTCCTCTCATTTTTCTAACTTGTGCCTATGTTTACGTTGTCCATACAGCCAGTATTGCTATCATCAGTACACCAGTCTAACTAAACACCAGTATCATACTTAGAATTTTTCTAGCATTTTTCTAGCATTTTTTGAACCTCTCATTATTTTTTGTGCGCGTTTATTGCTTAATTTTTATTTGTATTGTATAATTTGCAAGTCCTTATTTGAGTGTCTATTTGTTACACTGTTTATTTTGTATTATCTACTTGCATTTGTTTATTACACGACCACCATGCCCACCCCTTATGTAATACCCCGCAAGGGGTCCTTAAGGTACGGAAATAAATAAATAAATAAATAAATTTCAAACGAAGTCTCCAAAAAGTGAAATTGCAGCTCCGGTATCCAAGAGAGCTGCGATCTGTTGACCGGAAATGTTAACCACAATGTGGGGTTCTGTGTACCTCTACTTTCGTGAAGCATAGCGTCAAGGGATGATATAAAGTACGTGACTGGACGGAACCTATAAATTCGAAGTAGCTTGTCATAGACTTTCAGCCGACTCACCCATGATACCATGGTCGCTCGGATTCCCATGGTCAATGAAATGCTGAGGATTGTCACGCCTCGCAGACCCGCCCAGGTCACCGTTCGGTGGTGGGCACGGGGTTCCGGTTGGACCGCACGTGCCATACACTTGTCTACTGGTTCTCCAGCAGGCTGCGCTGGTGTGGTCGCATCAGCTGTTTTTCTGGCATGTGGGTGGACGACGGGCGGCCACGCCGCTGCCACTTCCTGCGAGCAGCCGTTGTCTGCGAGCAACCCAACTCATGACCGAGGAAGGTCATCTTTGAGCATGCGATCTCGCATTTCTTCGGCCGAGCCGTGATATTGGCTTCTTGCAACCGATCAAAAACTGTCTGCAACGTCCTCATGTGTTGCGTCCAAGTATCCGAGGCGATGAGAATGTCATCGATGTAATGATGAGTCTCCGGAATTCCATGAAGCAACTTTCTCCTCAGTCTGGTGAAGGTAGCAGAGGCAGTCGTGAGCCCGAAAGTCATAAACCTGAACTGGTAAAGTCCGCTACTCAACGAGAACACTGTCTTCTCCTTGGCCAAATCCTCCATCGGGATCTTCCAATGTCCCTTCGCTAGATCCAGCTTAGAGAAAAACTTCTTACGGCCCACCTTGGCGAAGGTGACGTCCGCCCATGGAATCGGCTCTCCGTCATCCTTAAGCACGTCGTTTAACTTCCTGTAATCAACGCAAAACCTGGTAGAACCGTCTTTCTTTCTAAAAATTACAACCGGCGCGTTATACGGTGACGTGCACCGTTCAATAACGCCCAGTCGGAGCATTTCCGAAAATGGCAACGCATGTTGCTTGGACGGAAAATGGCAACGCATGTTGCCTTATCCGCACAGGCTCTTCGGTCGTCAATTTCAGGTCGCATGTGATCAAGTTTGTCTGACCTGGAAGAACTGAAAATATGCTCTTACGCTGTTCGATCAACCTCCACACCTCATCTTGCTCATCATCACCCAGGTCGTTGTTGACCGTGACCTCTTTCCAGTCATGTGCAATCACGTTATCAGGCGCCGATGCCTTGTTGGCCTCTCCTGCAAGTGTAGCCTCGCCAAAGTACTGCGTTGCCGCACTGCAGCTTGGCGGCCTCCGGTTGACCTCGACTCTCTCTTGGTATCTCTTGAGCATATTCACGTCGACAACCTTCTTGCGTCCTCCAACATCGAGCCTGTAGTCCACTTCGTTCTTTTTCCGGATACTACAAATTGTCCTTTCCACTGCATTATTAACTTGTTGTGGTCGCTCGGTAGGAGAATGTGGGCCAAGTCCCCTTCTTTCAGTTAGCGGTTGACGCTCTTTTTGTCATAGTGCTCCTTGTACTTTATCTTGGCCTCTTCCAAGAAGCGGTGAGCCAACTCACATGTTCTTTGTGGTCTCTCTCTTAGCTCGAGTACGTGACCGTAGGACGTCCGCACGTCGTCTTCGAGCGTCTCTTTGACCAGATCTCCTTAAGGATGGCCAAAGGTCCCCGAACTCTTCGGCCGTATAGTAGGTCAAACGGTGAAAACTTCAGGCTTGCCTGTGGCACTTCCCTGTAGGCGAACAGTAGTGCCGGTAGGTACCTGTCCCAGTCCGTGGGCCTTTGTTGACGCATTCTTCTAATCATCTCTTTGATGATTTCATTAAATTTTTACACCAACCCGTTCCCCGCTGGATGGTAGGGTGTAGTCATGAGATGTTTCATGGACAGCAGGCGGCTTACCTCTTTCATGAGGTCCGACGTGAAGCAGAAACTTCTATCGGTAAGGACCTCATTTGGGATTCCACACCTAGAGAACATTTCCACCAAGGCTTCCGCCATTTTCTCCGTGCCGATGCTTCTTAATGGAATAGCATCCGGGTACCTTGTGGCAACGTCCACCATGGTCAGAATATATCGGTTGCCCGACCTCGCCGTTGGGTTGATCGGCCCGATGATGCCGATCGACACTCTCTTGAATGGTGTCTCGATGGCAGCCATTGTCACAAGAGGCGCTTTGCCTACTCTGCCTTCTGGCACCGTGCGCTGGCATACATCGCAGGAACGCACGTATCTCTTGACGTCTCTCGCATGCCCGGCCGAAAGAACTCTTCAGCCGTTAGCGCGAGCGTGTTCTTCATGCCTTGGTGACCTGACATGATACCATCGCGTGCCATTGCCATAACAGATGGTCGGAATCTTGCTGGGAGAGCCAGCTGCTCTATACTCCTCCCGGTGGAAAATATAAAGCTCCGAAAGAGCAGGTTGTTCTTGATCACCATTTCATACTTCGTACAAAACTTGTGTTTCTTTACCACCTTTCCGACCTTGTCGAAACATTTCCTCAAGGTCGCATCGAACCTCTGCTCTGTCGGAAGCTCCTCGACTGTCTTTTCGAGAATCGGTACCTGTGGCACATTTAATGGAGGTTCCGCTTTGTTCCCGCTCTTATTCTTCTCCGTCTCTATAAGTCCCGCGGTACTTGAAGGCGAAATTATCAATCCCAATTCCGTTTTTTCCGAGTCGTCCGGAGAAGCTTCCTTGTGGTCCTTCCTCTCTGGTACCTCGGCTCTCTTGTCTAGCTGGTGGCCAACTCCCTGGACAGTAAGTGTCTCCATCTCGTCACTTCGCTGTTGATCGGAATCCCAATATGGGTTCGGATCGTTGGGATCTCTCACTTGTGGAACATGGCCGAGCACTAGGTCGTATAGGGAATCGTAAATGCACTTCCTCACGACTTTTCTTGGGGAGAGCGCCTTTAGAGCGCGCGACACTAGAGCGCCGACGTTAGAGCGCGCGACAAGAGGGCGCTGCGACAGTAGCGCGCTTGACATTAGAGCGCACGTCACGAGAGCGCATGACCAGTTGAGCGCGGGACACGAGAGCGCACAACCAGTTGAGTGCGCGACACAAGAGCGCACGACCAGTTGAGCGCACGACGCGAGAGCGCACCCCACTTGAGCGAACACCGCAAAATCTGTGATGTACCCGCGGCTCCACAGACAAACAAAATTGTGCGACTCATTGGATTGAAGCATTGGTGATTTTTGATTGATAAATAAAAATAAAAATAAAACAAGTATGACTCAAAAATGTTTAACCAATTGTTTACTGAGGTCGGAGAGAAAAGGCAGGGGAGTGGCTGGGGCATATAGGTACCGGCAAAGTTTGCTGTTGAAGGGAGCCGCGAGTCTAAGATTTCTTCACGGTGCTGCGGTGCGCGTCTCGGATATACTATAAATAGTTTACTTTTTGCTATATTTGGTCTATTCTTGACAGACATTTGGGCCCCGATCTATTTGGTGGCTATTTAGACGTCCCTTGCATAAGTTTAAATGGTATTCTGACGTCCATGTCCGTAAAGAAGAAAGCTCACCGCTAAAAATGTATCAGTAAAACACTCGTTGAAGGAAAGCTCAGCGCAATTTTATCGGATGCAGATCTTTCCAGTCTTTTGACGGATACAGGAAAACCTCCCCTGCAAATCTGTGATATACAAACTCAAAGAACTAATGAAGCTAGGTCAGCTGCATTGTTTTTTTTTCTGCGAAAATGCACGCAACAGATGTGCTTTTTTTTCTGCTCTCAGCTTTTTGTAACACTTCTTGGTTTGTCACACGCAAAAATTTCGTCGTCTCATTTTGTAGTGTCATTGCTGAATTCCGCGGCATAAATTCCTGCCAATTTTACATAAAGCACGCGATGCCCGAACAGGTGGTCGGTCCGGTCGGGCCACTCGCGCTGGACTGGCTGTATACGCTCTCGTGACGGGCGCTCCCCTCCGCTAAGCCCCTCCGCTACCCGGAATTGTACAGCGAAAGCCATCGGCATGCAGGCGCAGAGGCGGTTTCTTCGTAGCGGAGGTGGAAACACGGTCTACTAAAACTCCCTAATGTCGCTGCGCACTAGAGTGGCGCGCGCTAACGTCGCAGCGCTCTTGAGTCGCGCGCGCTAACGTCGCCGCACTCTCGAGTCGCGCGCTCTAACGTCGCGTCGCTCTAGTGTCGTGCGCTCTAACGTCGCGGCGCTCTAGTGGTGCGCGCTCTAACGTCGCGGCGCTCTACTGTCGGCGCTCTTGTGTCGTGCGCTCTAGTGTAGTGCGCTCTAGTGTTGTACAGCCCTTTTCCTGACAGAAAGGGTGTGTTGATCACAATTTCCGCCTCAGGTAAGTGTTTCACTGTTCGGTCCAGTAAATATACGGGGCTACAGTTTCCAGTGTAGCACCCAACGGGCACCAAGTTCTTTCTTGCGACTACTGTATTGCAGCCAGTGTCCCGAAGTACCGTAACTTTTCTGTCACCAATGCGGCCTTCGACCACAGGCATATTCTCTACCAGAAACTTGGGCGGCCTCCCCGGTACCGCTGCGTTAACCATTTGTATTTTGTCACCGTTCTTTAACGTGCGGTAGGTCTCGTCTGGTTCCTCTGCCGTTTCGTTGGAGGCTGTCCACACGCAAGAAACTTGTGGTTTATCGCCAGCCCTCATAGTGCATTTGTTGGCCTTGTGTCCCATGCGGCCGCAGTGCCAACATGTCGATGATTTGTATTGCTGATTGCGACCCTTGCAATTCTGTGCTTTGTGTCCTACCCTACTGCATATAAAGCATAGCAGGATCCCCCTTGTGTCTTCTCTGAAGGCTTTAGGGACTGTACTTGCACTGGTTTTTGGGACTTGTCCCTCTTCCTTCGCTTTTAAAGCGCCCGGTTGAGTCTGTGCTTCCAGAAAGATGTCGGCTTTTTCAGCCAAATCATCTAGGGTCAAGCA